AAGAGATATAAGTCTACTTGTGAATAACTAGCTTGTTTTTCAACCTTGGTCATGTCAATTAAAATTCCTGCCTCATGAATGAGTTAATTGTTTTAACCTTCATGACCAACAAACCCAACTTGTCCCTTAAGTTTTCTACGGCAAGGAACCCTTATTTCAGGGTTAATGTAAAATACACACAAAAGTAAGTTTCCCTCACACATCAGGACAGCAGATTCCCAAACTGGCCTTCTAGAGATACTTGGTACATTGCTGCATATACATGCCCTCTTATGAAACCAGTGTTTCTGTTGTAGCTTCCCATTCAGACAGTGCCAAACATTTTGCACATTTTCAACAGTAGTGTACATCCAAACGCCAACATCTATGACATGGGGCTTTGCAGCTCAAAAGCAGTACTCGGGCACAAAATCTACTGTTGCGGTAGTGAATCACTGAGGCTAAGAGGTCACTGGTAGTGCCGTGAAATTCATGTTCTATCTGCTTATACCACATCCACACGTAAAGAGCTTATGAAGAGGAACAAGCCTGATAAGCATTATTAATAGTCTTTTAACAATTGTATTTTCTACTTTATGGACCATACCAGAAATCTCTGTGAAGATGAACTAAAGCTTCAGCTCAGGATTTTCTAGCTTGAAATTCCAGGTTTAGGCATGGAACTCAGAAAACTGAAAAGGTGACTAAATTGAGGTTTGTAAGTACCTACACAGGTAAAAGGGTCTCTGATGCAACAAAGAAAAGCATGATAAAATCCACTGCAGGACATCCTGGGGCAAAAAGGAAGGTACTGAAAGAGATGTCATGAGAAGACTCTTCTAACAAACAGCACCAGCAGCAGACTAACAATTAAGTAGAAAGGGATGCTACACTTTAAGCCTCTTTTGTAAATAGTAATCTAAGAAACAGCTCAATTCCTATTTATTCCAAACTTGAGGGTGACTAGCTTTGTACAAGAGTTGCTCTGAAGTCTGCAGAGCCTGTGAACAAGTTGTATGAACCAGCACAATAATTAGAGGGTACAGCTCACATCTGGGGAAGAAATAACCAGGAATCTGCAGAGAACAAGTTGTTCCATGAACACTACAGCTAGCTACATCTGGTTTCCACTCAACTCATGTCTTCTAGTTGGTTGACTTTTAACTGAATATGTGTGAGCTCACCCTAATTAAACATCCAGTAAGTGTTAGTTGGAAAAAACCTCTTCTATTGCTCCTTGTTTGAAAAGAGATAATTCAAACAGGGAAGAAGCTTTAGTTGAGAAGGAGATTCTCTAATGTTTGAAACAGCAAAAACTCCAAATAACACTTTTTTTTTTTTCCTTCCAAGCAGTTAAGCATTCATAGTGTGCTATCCTGTGTAGATTTTTTTACTTTAGTAAGAATTTAAGAGATACTTATTTTTTCACTTCCTCCAGTGGATATACTAAAAGGATATTTGCTTTCCAGGAGAAATTTTTCTTTACTTATTAGGAATTTAATATGATTAAGAACTCTATTCACAAACATGTCTGATTCAAAAAGGGAAGATAGGTAAAGGTGTTTACGTAAATCTTACTTCCTTAGGAAATTAGGATTTGCATAATTCAGATATGCAGAGAGGTGGAAATAACCTGAGGGACTGGGTAAACTTGGAATTCACAGTAGTTTCCTGTTGATTAGTGAATCTTATATCAGCATTCCTCATGGTGGAAGAACAAATGTCCTGGGAAAACCCAAATATTATTTCTGTGATTACCGTACCACCATCTACTCCTTAAGGAGTCTGTGATCCACGATAACAAAGCAAGAAGGAAATATTATTTCTATTTTACACACAGGCAACTCTGACACTGTTGCCATTCACAACATAGATTTTTTGCATGTCCAGGGACATGTGGCTTTATCTCTGAGCTCAGATTTCCAGATCTCTATGCTAATGCCTTAAACACAAACCTGTTTTTCCTCCTGGACATACTCAGGGATATGTGAACTCTTCTATGTGAATAATCTCAGCAGGGAAAGGTGATATATTTGTGCAATGGAACATGGTGTCTAGCAGACTGCCAGCAAACCCAGCACTAGGGATATTGTGGGTGTCATTTATAAAAGAGAATTTAAGCTACCTGATTAGGTTACAGAACCTAACCTTTTCATTGTGGACTGCAACAAGATAGAGACCCTAAGCAAGTCACTTCTATGTAGAAATCAGGAATACTGGAGAAAGACAAAGGCACAGACACTCCCACATGCTTGAAACAGTGCTCCACTACATTGATAATGACAATGAAAAACTACTGGTAGGAAAACTGCTATAGTTACTTTTTAATTTAAGGAACTGTCAACAGAATAAACTTGAGGTTTTATTATGGACATATTCAGAAGAGTACCAAGGTGCTTTTTTTTTTTTTTTTTTAATATGCGTGACAACTACTGTGATCTATTTTAGAGAATGATTCTTGCTTTGAGATAGGGTGAGAGCGTGCCTTCCAAGCATTGCCACTATCTTTGAGTAAAAACCTTTGTTAGTATAGATTCCTGACCACAGAGCATTTTCACTAATTTTTTCTTTCTTTTTCCCAAGCTCACAAGTTTTTTGGTTTGTTTTGGGGTTTTTTGTTTTTGTTTTTGTTTTTTTTTAAAAGTGTACAAGTGATAAAGCTAATATGAAACCATAGTCTACTAGAAAGGTTTTGGCTGATTTCAAAGGGATCCAAATCAGATGCTGTTTGACTACCTGGAAGAAGGTACTTTGTTATTTACACCAGAGAATACAAATTAAAAATGACTAACCAGTAGGAAAAAAAAAAAAAAAGTTTCCTGTCTTGCCTTTTATACAATCAGAAAGTTGCGTGAACAGAAGATAAAAAGGAAGGTGTCATTTCATTCTGAATGGAAAAAAGCAGAATTAACTCAGGGTGGCTCCATTAATTATCTACTTCAAATGGAGTGGGAATTATGTAACCCTAGGAATTTTCCAAGGTATGATCCCTAGAAAAAACTACAGTAGTTCATTAGCCAGCCCCATAAACTGTAACCATGTTAGTAGAGACTCTAAGGTTAATGACTTATTTTGTTGCTTCTGTCTTTTTATCACTTAATTGCATTAACTTTAACCTGTTTCTAAGTAAACTTTTCCTAAACAATCTCATCTTGTGGCTTAAATGGCTTCTAAATGATCTGTCCCAGCACAGTGCATCCCAATTCCACCAGGCAGCTAGAGAGGGAGTAGCTCCAACCTTCCAGTGCTCTGCATCCTGACACAAGGCACAAGGGAGAGGGAAAGGCAACTCAGTATTTCCTCTTCAAAGCTTCGTGGGCACTTTTGGAGATTAGAGACAGTACTGGACATTAGTTTGGGACTGCTCATTGGGTGATGGTAAGGAAACTTCCCAATAATCATAAACATAATCCAAATAGCACGAACACATCAGTGCAGTGCCCTCATCTTCACCCATGGGGGAATAAGCTGCCTCCTGGGATATAAAGCAAGTGCAAAAGCAGTCCTCTTTTTTCCACTACCGCTGTTATGATTAGAAGCAGGAAACTTATTATTACAAAATAATATCAATTATATAGAGCACATTCAAGAAACTAAGAATGATAGCTATCATAGCATAGGGAACAAGGAATATGCAAGGAAGTCACTTTCTTTTCACTTTTTCTCCAGTGAGAAATGCCTTCCTTAGCTCCTACACTTTTATGCATCATGAGCCCGATTAAAAAAAAAATAAAAATAAAAATTAAGAATTATATGAAGAGTTAATAGATAATCAAATGCTTCCTTCTGGTGCTTAGAAGTGTTGCTTTATAATGGGGATGAGTGAAATGAGACAGGTGGCTCTATTAGGACCACCAGTGGAGACTGCAGAGCAGAAATGAAGAAAATCCTTTATCTGCTTTTTCCACTTCTGAAGCTGCACTGGCCAGCTTCCATCACCTTAGTAACAGCAAAAAGTGATGTCATTTTGCACTGCCTCCACCCTTCTATCCCAGTCTTCAGGGAGGATGTTCTGCTACTAGGGAATTCACAGATCAGTTTTAGAAACCTGCAATCCCAAAGAGCTAAAACCCACAATTTTCTATTTTTATCTCCTTTATGTCTGGAAGAGGAGGAAGATTCAGATGTCTTCTATATTTAAAGATGTCTTTTCCATGTAGTCTGTCAAAACTTCTCTAGGGACCCACTCCTCCCTGACACAAATAACTTCCATAGGTACAGAAGGAAGCTGATGCACATTTTCTGTCTGTTCCACACAATCCTTGCAACAGCTGCTGTTTTTCAGTGGAAACAAAAAGCTATTAGGTATCTCTAAGTAAAATAGACAGGGAAATCCCAGAGCCAATATTTAACAAGACACAGTTAATCATGCTCTCCAAAAGTTATCTAAACAAGTAAATATATGCAGAATAACAGGCTGAGCATTTGATCCTCACTCTGTGCATCTAATTTGACACATTTAGGGAAAACTCCAGAAAACATCTATGTGAGTCACAGTCATGAATACTTTCTGTCTTCCTAGGACAGCATTCTGATTTTAAACCTGTTTTAGAGGATCCTAAAAAAAAAAAAAATTACAGTCTTATGATGCCACTGTGCAATATGGAGTCAACACTGTGGCGCTTGGTCCAGGCACTAGCATTAACAACTGGAAATTAATTTGTAAATTTGGTGAACTCGTTTAAACCCTCTAATGCAAGTTCCTTCTTTGCAGTCACACCTTATTTATAAAAGTGATTTGTTCTGGGACAGATTTTTATATGAAGACATTCATTTTTAGACCCATCTGAAACAGCTGGCCTTTTAAAACAAGATCTTCTTACTCCTGATTCAGAAGGAGTGCCACCTACTGACAGCAGGAGCTGTTTCTATTTGCTTAATTAAATTAATCAAGAATTCTAACCTGAGTTGCTGTTGTTTCTTGCAGCTTACTTCACGTCCAAATGGTGAAAATAGGCCTCGAAGAAAATGGAGCATCATAAAAATCTGGAATGGTAAATGCCAGATTCTCGTTAAAACCCACCTGCCCATGGTGTTGCTGACTGATGAAAAATTCCCTAGCACCACCAACAGTCACTCTACCAAAATTTTCTGAAAAAAAGTGCACAAATAGCACAAAAATATTCACTGTCTATGGATAATCAAGTATTGAATTTAAAGGTGAATTAGAAAGAAAAAAAATTAAAAGAGCCAAAAATCTGTAGAAAAATGTCTAAACCTGGACAAAACCAACAAATCTCTATATACAGGAAGCTGAGTATTACAGGATGAATAAAAATACCACTGCATAGTAAAAAAGTCAGCTGCATGGCTTCATTAAAAAGTCTTCTGGAAAAGATTTACTATAAATTACATCTCTGCCCTATATACAAGCTTCATAAATGAAGTATAGGATTTTAAGAGACATTTTGTCTTTCTTTTGTCAGGTCTGGAGTCATTAAACAGAGATTAGCTGGATAAATAGAGGAAGTGATTTTTAAACTGTTTGCAAACTTAATGTGAAGAGCCCAGCCTTGCAAATTATCACGTCTAATCAGAGATGCACGCTTCACTGCTCCAGTAATTGTACTAGTATTAGTCAAATTCTTGTTGTCTCCTCATTAGCCATGAAAAGGAGACTCAAGATGTACTTCATTAGAGTATCCTGAATATAAATTGTTAGTCTAAGGAGGAAGAGATGTATTACATACTGTATATAGAAAGGAGAATATTAAGAACATAAAACATATTGAATCATTCTAGTGTTACACTGAATATATGACTTGAACAACCAAACCCCTCTTTTCTCTTTTCATTTTTATTGTCTTGATCCCCTCTTTTATTTGCAGTGAGACTATAGTACTTGAAAATGTAATTTATAACCAATGCCATAAAAAAAAAAAAGTGTGGTGTATTATGCAGCCATTTCTGTTTCCATAGCCAGAAGAACACAGTTTAGTCAAGAACTGTCTTTAGTAGAGTCATTTGATAAAATCTTGACTACTAGATAACAGGTAAAGGTGATCTAACTCACATTAAATGTAGATCAAATCAAAAGGTTTGTTCCTTTGATCAGCAAAGCATTTAAGCACATGCTCATGCCCTTCTTGATTCAGCAATGGCCTTAAGTACATGCTTCTAAATCAAGAGAATTTAAACACATGCCTAATATATGAAGCATGTGCTTAAGGGAATTGAGTTTTGAAAAATCCACCTTGAATAGGGTTTCTGAACAGGTCTATTAGAAGGCTAAAAGTAAAAACATTTTCAAGAATTTTAATAGAAGCAGAGGGAAAGCAAATTTTCACATTTGCTTTTTTTCACAGCTATTTTTGTTGGTGTGAATCTGAGTCTGAAATATTTGTATTACTCAACAACAGTTAAGGGAAGCTGCAAATGAACTAGGCAGGTCACCAGAATGATGCCAATAAATGCCTTCTACCTCTCTGCTTTATCACAGATTAAAAAGAACCAAAAAGCAACAAACATGCAAAACCATACCCTTTTACCCCTTGAATACAACACCAAATCATTATGAAATCAGGTGTCTGAAAACTAAAATCTAAGCCAAATATGGTCTCGCATTCGTTTGTGTGGAAGACTCAGAGTGAGGGAAGTAAGTAATTCAAAAGGGGGAGTTAAGTCCATAATGTATTGTCCAGTAACACTGCTTACTGCAAAAAAATGAACTGGATTTCTAGGCCTGAGATTTGACCCCTAATTCAGTTGTGTCCTCTCAGAACACAGAAATATCCTCACCTGAGTTCAGTTCTATCCCTCAAAAGATGAGAATCTTCAGATCATTATTATTTACTCTAATTTATTCAGCATGCAGGAGCTCATCATGGAAAGGACCCCATCTTGCTTGGTCAAGATAAGCTGGGCAAAAAAATAATGATTCTGAAATACTTCACGGTGCCTCTTTGAACAATATTAAAACACTTCAGCAACCTTTCATACAGAATTAATTAACATAAAAACCAGCCTCCACAATGCAGCAGAGCCCTAAAGTGGTTTCTGGAATTTAATTAGGCGAACCTTCTTTTCTCTACATTGGTACTGCTCTATAATAAGTGCAAATCATTATTAATTCCTCTGGTATTCACTGTAATAACATTAATCATGATGAAGTCTTTTGGTAGTAAAGTGTATGTAATATGTAATTCCATAATAATTTAGCGTTAACTTGAAATTAATTTATAAAATATACTATTTGTAACCACACACTGAACATTTATAAAATTCCGCTGGTCGTTTGTATTAGGATAACTTGCATTAAAAAATACATTGGCTACAGACTTAAAGTTCATAAATACATTTGGGAAATTGAGTGAGAAATATTAGTGATAATTTATTTGGCAAGTTTTCCTTTAAAAAGTATAGTAGGGTCATTTTTAGAAATAATAAAATACCATATATTGTAGAAAAATACTTGAATCCTTTTTCATTACTAACATTTGTGCAACACAGATTTTAGTTTAAAGATTATTAAAGTCTGGAATTTAAAAGAGAGTTTGAGGATGTGTAGTAAACGATAACTTAGCCAATTAAATAAGAGTTAACACATATAGAAAGAATTTACCTGCAATTTGGACGTGCTGAAACAACTAAGTGACATATAAGAGTACCACTCTACCCAAGAACAGACCAGGTTATCTATGATATAGGGAGATTATAGCTTTTGAATTTGTTGGCTTTTGGTAAATTAGTCTTATTTTGTGGAGTGAATATGAGATGTTGACAGTTGGTTTGTTTATCAGGAAACATTAGTGGGATGGTTTTAAGCCCTGCCGGGACTGGAGACCACATTGCCATTGTCCCTCCCCCACCCTTGGACACAAGTAGGGCACAAACCCCAGGTTAAAATAAGAAGAAATTGAATACAATAGTGTAATAAACAATCTGAACAACAACAGTAGCAATGATAACAACAGTAAACAGTAATAACGGTGAACTAGAAAAAAAGATATACAGAGAAATACCACAATGCTTACAGACAGCTCGCTCATGATGCTCCCCGTCACCAAAGCCACAAAGGAAAAAGCTTCCCACACTGCCCTGCTGGACCTGATGCCAGCATGGGATGAATAACCCGGCTGGAGATCCCTTCCCCCTCCCTGCTGGGGAAACTTAACCCTATCCTAGCTGAACCAGGACATAATCCACCCCTTTATTCTATATCATCTGCATCATGTCCAGCTGCCATTTAGCAGTTAGCAATAACAAAATAACAATTTACAAAGGCACAGCATAATTCACGGTGTGTTCTCAACCAGAATCAAGTCCCCCTGTCGTACGCATTGGACCTCTCCATTGTCCTGCATCACCCACCAGGTGCACCCAGGTCCTTGGGCAAAAGCAATCCCGTGGATGGGTTTGCCTTTGCCTTTGCCTGGTGCAGGACTAAACCAGACCATTTTTCCCAATATATTCCTCATGCGCACCACAGGGACTTTATCCCCATCTACAGCACGTGGAGGTTTCAGCTGAGCCGGGCCAGCTCGACTGGCAGATGCTTGTGTTGAGTAGCCAGGTGGCCTTTGCTAGATGCATGTCCCAGTCTTTGAAGGTGCCACCTCCCAGTGCTTTCAATGTGGTTTTTAACAGTCCATTGTAGTGCTTGATCTTCTCAGAGGCTGGTGCATGGTAGGGGATATGGTAGACCCACTCAATGCCGTGTTCTTCTGCCCAGGCATTTATGAGGTTGTTTTGGAAGTGGGTCCTGTTGTCTGACTCAATTCTCTCTGGGGTGCCGTGTCACCACAGGACTTGGTTTTCAAGGCCCAGGATGGTGTTCCGGGCAGTGGCATGGGGCGCTGGGTAAGTTTCCAGCCATCCAGTGGTTACTTCCACCATTGCAAGTATGTGACTCTTCCTCTGGCAGGTCTGTGGCAGTGTGATGTAGTCAATCTGCCAGGCCTTTCCTTATCTATACTTCAGCCATCGCTCTCCATTTCATTAGGGCTTCACCCGAGTGGCATGTTTGATTGCAGCACGTCTCACATCTGTGGATGATCTCTGCAATGGTGACAATGGTTGAGGTCCACCCCTCAATCTCGAGCCCACCTGTATGTTGCATCCCTACCTTGGTGGCCCGAGGTCTCGTGGGCCCACCGGGCTATGAACAGTTCACCTTTGTGCTGCCAGTCCAAGTCCACCTGAGCCACTCTAATCTTAGCACCTTGGTCTGCCTGCTGGTTGTGTCAATGTTCATCAGTGGCCCGACTCTTGGGTACATGGGCATCCACATGGCGCACCTTCACAACGAGGTTTTCCACACGGGTTGCAATATCCTGCCACACCTCAGCAGCCCAGACAGTTTTACCCTTACATTGCCAGTTGTTCTGTTTCCATTGCTGCAACCATTTCCACAGGGTATTTGCCACCACCCACGAGTCAGTGTGGAGGTAGAGCCTTGGCCACTTTTCCCGCTCAGCAATATCCAAAGCAAGCTGGATGGCTTTCACCTCTGCAAACTGGCTCGATTCACCCTGTCCCTCAGCAGCCTCAGTGACCCGTTGTGTGGGACTCCACACAGCAGCCTTCCATCGTCGATGTTTTCCAACAATACGACAAGACCCATCAGTGAACAGGGCATATGGCTTCTTCTCATCCAGCAGTTCGTTATATGGTGTGGCCTCCTTAGCACGTGTCACCTCCTGTTCTGGTAACATCCCAGAATCTTTGCTCTCTAGCCAAATCGTGATTACCTCTAGTATCCCTGGGAGGCTGGGCTTCCCTATTCGAGCCCATTGTGTTATCAATGCAATCCATTTACTCCACGAGTCACCTGTTGCGTGATGCGTGGAGGAGGCCAGTCCTTTGAACATCCATCCCAGCACCGGCAGTCGGGGTGCCAGGAGGAGCTGTGTTTCAGTGCCGACCACTTCTGAGGCAGCCCAAACTCCTTTGTACGCTACCAGTATCTTCTTCTCAGTTGGTGTGTAATTAGCTTCAGAGCCTTTGTATCCCCGGCTCCAAAAGCCTAGAGGTCGGCCTTGGGTTTCCCCAGGTGCTCTCTGTCAGAGGCTCCAGGTAGGGCCATTCTCCCCAGCTGTGGTGTAGAGCATGTTCTTAACCTCCTGCCCTTCTCAGAATGGCCCGAGGGCTACTGCTTGGGCAATCTCCCGCTTACTTTCTGCAAAGGATTGTTGTTGCTCAGGGCCCCATTTAAAATCGTTCTTCTTACGATTTACGATTTATGCGGTAGAGAGGGCTCACAATCAGGCTGTAGTTCAGGATGTGCATCCTCCAGAACCCCACATCACCCAAGAAAGACTGAGTCTCCTTTTTAGAGGTTGGTGGGGCCATGGCTGTTATCTTGTTTATCACCTCCATTGGGATGTGGTGACGCCCATCTTGCCAGTTTACTCCTAGGAATTGAATTTCATTTGCAGGCCCCTTAACTTTCTTTTGCTTAATGGCAAAGCCGGCCTTCAGGAGGATTTCAATTATCTTCTTTCCCTTTCTCAAAGACTTCCTCGGCTTTGTTCCCCCATACAATGATGTCATCAATATACTGCAGGTGTTCTGGAGCCCCATCTTTCTCCAGTGCTGTGGTTCCACCCCTGGGGCAATCGATTCCAGGTGTACTGGATGCCTCTCCAAGTGAACACACACTGTGGCCTGCACTCTGGAGATATTGGAATGGAGAAGAACATTTAGCAATGTTAATCGTGGCGTACCACTTGGCTGCCTTTGACTCCAGTTCATACTGGAGCTCTAGCATGTCCGGCACTGCAGCACTCATTGCTGGCGTAACTTCATTCAGGCCACGGTAGTCCACAGTTAGCCTCCATTCGCCATTAGGCTTTCTTACTAGCCATATAGGGCTGTTGAAGGGTGAGGGAGTTTTGCTGATCACCTTCTGGCTTTCTAGTTGATGGATCAGCTGATGGATGGGGACCAGGGAATCTCGGTTAGTGCGGTACTGCTGCCGGTGCACCGTCCTGGTAGCAGTCGGCACTCGCTGCTCCTCAACCTTAAGCCGCCCCACCACTGAGGGATCCTCTGAGAGGCCGGGTAAGGTGGACAACTGTTCAACTTCCTCCAGGGCAGCTACACCAAAAGCCCACCGGTACCCTTTTGGGTCTTTGAAGTTCCCTCTCCTGAGATAGTCTATGCCCAGGATGCACAGGGCATCTGGGCCAGTCACAATGGGGTGCTTATGCCAGTCCTTCCCAGTCAGGCTCACTTCAGCTTCCAGTAGGGTCAGCTGTTGGGATCCCCCTGTCACTCCGGAGATGCAGATGGATTCAACCCCACTGTAGCTCGATGGCATCAGGGTGCACTGTGCGCCAGTGTCTACCAAAGCCTTATAATCTTGTAGGTCTGATGTGCCAGGCCATCGGATCCACACTGTCCAGTAAATCCGATTATCTCTTTCCTCTACCTGGCTGGAGGCAGGGCCCCTCTAATCCTGCTCATCATCACTCACTTGTAAGAATGATTTACTGGTCCCCTCAAGAGTGTCAGACATAACATTCACCAATTCTATTCTGTCTGGGGGATTTCCGACTGGACACTGGAGCTGCGCTTTTCTTGGAGGACTCCCCTTTTGTGATGGTCTTCCCTTTCTGCTGCTCTACTCGTGCAGATAGGGCGGCAGTGGGCTGTCCATCCCACCTCCTCATGTTTTCTCCATGGTCGCAGAGGAAAAACCACAGGGTGCCTCGTGGTGTGTACCTTCTGCTGCCTTTCTCTTGGGTGGGGAAACGTTTACTTCCAATGGCTGAGACATCAGTCCCTGCAGGTGGAATGTAGGTCATGTCCTCTTCCATTTTCTGGACCCTCTGAGACAGCTCCTTTACAGCTGAAACCCATGAATGTTGAGATGAAGGGACATTTCCCTCATATTGCAGGAGCTTGCCAACCACTCTATCCACTGTTAGAGTGTGGGTGTCTGTCCACCAGGACACTACTGCCAATGTTTTCGAGTGTGCTTCTGGTGCGCTCTTCAGGAACTTGCACCACATCAGGTGTATGCAAGGGGCTTGATCTGGGTCCATGGGTGACTGCTCATCATTCAGATCACCATAGATCATATCAAACACAGCCAGTTCCCTGAGATTCTGGATGCCTTTCTCAATGTTGGTCGATTTGCCTAGGTGACATAGGATATCATCCTTGTAGGGGTGCCTCTCCCTTACACTGAGCAGGATTCACTTCCAAAGGCTGAGGGTTTGAGTCGATTTCCCTATTTCCCTATCAATGCCAGCATCCTTGGCCAAAGATCCCAGCTGCTTGGCCTCTCTCCCCTCCATTTCAAAAGCACTGGCTCCATGTCCCAGCATCGGAGCAGCCAGGTGCAAATATGCTCACCTCCCAGGCGGCCGAAATCTCGCCGTATATCTCGCGACTCAGTTGGGGATAGAGATCGAACGATCACCACTGGCCCTTTCTCCTGTTCCCATGCTGGACCTGGCTCATCCCCATGCCCCACTTTGCGAACTGACTTTCTGGTATATTTTTTTTTCTGTATTGGGGCGACTGATACCGGCACTGGCTGTCTCTCTGGCTCAGCTGCTGTGCTGGTGGAGGTGACTGAGACTGGCTCTGCCTGTCCCCCTGTCCCAGCTGCGGTATAATAAGTTCATTCTCAGATCCTGCAGCCCTTTCCCCTCCTTGAGGGCCGTGAGTGGTATTAAATAGGACATGGTAGGCATGGGTACGTCCCCAACACATTGCAGCGATTTTTGTCTCCTGGTTTTTGCCAGCTTGGTAACACACCCTTTCAAGCACTCCATCAGCTTATCAGGGCTCTGCATTTGTTCAGGAGTGAAATTCCAAAGCATTGGAGGTGCCCACCGACTCAGGCCTTTGTCCATCTTTTCCCACACCCCTTGCCACTCACTATTATCTGACCTCGGGGCAGGTTTCCAAGCACTGCCATTGTTAGAGAAGTGCCGCATGGCCCAAAACAAGATCTGGCAGACACCCAGAAAGCATTGTGCCACAATTACACTGGCCTGCAGGCTCTAAGAATAATTGAAACTCTCAAAAACCAAGAGGATCTCTTCCCCTGGCTCACCCATAGAGGGAGTGAGACCCCTAACAAAAGCCCAGGCAACAAATAGGTACCGGCCCCCCCCCCCCCCCCCCCCAGCGATACAAACACATTACAAGCAGTCAGTAGCCAGTATAACAAAACAATCCCCTTTATACATTTTCCACCGACAACAAACACCAGCACTGGGAACACACAGTGGATATAAGGAATAATCCAGCCCCACCACGCAAGCAAATGGGCCAGCTTTGCAAACATTTTCTTATCAAACAGTACAAACAGAAAAATTACACCCAACAGACTGCTCCAACACACTCTGGTCAGGGTCTGTCCCTTTTTGAGCCTTATTTCAACCCTCTTGTGCCCCATGTTGGTGCGCCAAAAAAGCTGTGCAGGTTTAAGCCCTGCCGGGATTGGAGACCACGTTGCCATTGCCCCTCCCCCACCCTCAACCGGTCAGGCTGGAAGTGAGGCACAAACCCCGGGTTAAAATAAGAAGAAATTTAATACAACAGTGTAATAAACAATCTGAACAACAACAGTAGCAATGATAACAACAATAAACAGCAATAATAGTGAAGAAGACAAAAGATATACAGAGAAATACCGCAATGCTTACAGCCAGCTCACTTGCGATGCTCCCCTTCACCAAAGCCACAAAGGAAAAGCTTCCCGCGCTGCCCCAACATACCTGAAGTCAACATGGTATCATAGCCTGGCTGGAGATCCCTTCCCCCTCTCTGTTGGGGAAACTTAACCCTATCCTACCTGAACCAGGACAATTAGCAACATGGCCTTACAGGCCAGGTCACATGTCACTGAAGCTAATACCTTTGACTACTCTCTTTCAGCAAAGATATTACAAATTAAAACACTGTCCCAAAGCAAGGACAAATAGGAAGGTACCCAGTGATTAAAATTATCTGGATAGAATAGTTTGGTTATACATAATTTTGGGAAGAGTTGTAAAAAAGCATTTCAGTGCAGCAAACAAAATGAAAGCAAGTTTCTTTAGTTCAGCACTAGTTGAAAAACCTAGTTATTTGAAGCAAAAAAGTAGTTTCCCAATTTCTTTGGTTTCTCTGGAATTTAAAATGTCCAGAACTCATGTATTGTTCATAAATAAACAATTTTGGACAGAGAACATCACCTGATCATCAATTCTCTCTCCCTATTAGACCAGCCTAAAGGACACTAAATTATAGCCAGTGTCCTCAGGCAGGAATTTCTGTGATTGCATGAAAAATACAACAACTTGCAATAGATGGGCTTTGGAACTCACAAAAAAAGGAGAGGAAGATGCAAAATAAAGTGCTTGTCAAGTCATATATCTTGTTGGTACAAAAGCAGAAGTGATTAAGTTTAAGATGCTATCAGACAATGAATGTATACAAACATCCTTAGTGAGTGATACTAATGGAAAAACAGTTTTGTCTTTCCATAGATGATTTGTTTTCATCACTGGACAATGTAAAATCTCTGTATTAAAAATTCACAAAGGCTGCATTTGGAATCCTTTTATCTGTCTGCCTTAAGTATTTCTAAGATGCCAATCACTATATTATCTAAATGCATTAACAGAGTAGCTAGCTTTTACTAAATATAAAAAGAGATTCCAAAAGAATTCAAGATCAAAACACTACCTCAGCCAGACACAGAAAATCCTTCTAGGTGCTGGGAAAGACTTCTCTGAACAGCTCTGAGGAGTACTCTGGGGCAGAGTCAAGCAACACTTGCACTCTATCTGCAGGGCCCAGAAGCTGATGGGAACACATTTACTTACACAGCCTACAGCTCTGCATACGTTTTGAAATTACTTACATTATAGGTTTTGGACTATGCTATAGCTAACATAAACTGTGTGTGATAGTGAAGCAACAGAACATGTAAGCATATGCTGTGAGTGGGAATGAATTTAAGTGTGTGTTTATATACTTGGCTGAATCAGGCCCCTCATCACTTGGCCAGATCTGCAGTGTATTTTATATCAGCATTACCTCAGCAGAGTTGCCTCTCCTTTAAATTGGTACAAGTAAAAGGCAAGGATTATATCCCATAAATTTTAGGTGCTTTGACAGGTCTTTCCCACCTTAAATGAAAAATACTGGTCATGTCTTTTACTCTGTGTAATTACTTTTCCATAATACTAGGTACTCATTGTAAAAAGTGGTTATTTAAACAATTAAACAATTTCTTCTAGCTTAATATTTAAACTGTATTTTGCTCTTAAAAGTTTATTAACTTAATTTACACAAAAGGAGACTCCAGTTTGGAATAACTCAAGGATCCGTTGTCTCATCTATTTCCTGTAATGATTTAATGATTGATAAAATAGAGAAGAAGGATCAGATCTTCTCCTGGTATAAATTGTTAGCTGCAGACCTTGCATCATAAATATCTTCTTCTTTTACATTATTGTTAATGTTAATTACAGGAGAAACTCTAAGAAGTTATAACTTTAAGAAGTATCAGCCATGATCCTGTGGTTAAGCCTGCACTAAGATTTGTATTTAAAATGTACATTCAGCTATTTAGTTACATGCAGTGAATTCAGCTTATTTCTCCCTCAAATCATAACATCTATTTTTTGAATGCAGAAAGAATTTTTTATTAATTTATATTAATATCCAAATGACTTACATTTAAGAAGTCTCCTCAGGCCTGCTGTTTAAAGTTGGAACTTGATTGAATTCCATTTATGTCCAGTGTCAGTGATAATTCAGTGATAATTCACTGTGTGCTGGAAACAAAGAAAAAAACTTACAGCTTAGAAAAATTATATTCTTCTCCTTGTTTATTTTATATTTAAATAAGTTTTTTCCTAGTCATACTGGAGAGTTCTTTCTCATTCTGCCTTTCTCTATGTTTTTTCCTCATCAGTACTGGAATTTAACCATTAGAGTTAGGGAGGGACAAATTTCAATTAGTCTGACCCTCATTACAAGTGCTATCAGGTCTATTTTGTGAACTGCCACAGCTCAGCACTGGCCTAATTCCAACGCTACTGCTTATGTTTTTACTCTTACTTGCTCTGCTCTTTTTCTTAATCTTATTTTCCATTTTTCATGTGTTCTTTTCTGTATCATTTTTCTCCTCACAATTTGCATTATTTTTATATCCTCCCTCTAACCTTCTCTTTCCTCCTGGATCCAGTATCTAAGCCTTCAAGCCTCACTTCTTTTCTTCCCCTCCCTTTTATTTTTCTTTTCTCTCCAAGCTTTCCTCTTTGATGGAGACCCTTCTTGGTCTATCAGCCTTTAAAAAGGAAATCCCAGCAAATTTCCTCTCTCTACAAACTAAGTCTGTCTTTAAAGAAACCGTTTTTCATTGCAACTCAAAATATGATCTCACTGATGCTACAGCTTCACTCAAGGTCATAAAAAGTAGCTTATATATTTTACCAGCCTAGTGATTTTAAGTGTTTATTCTCAACACACATGAGCCTGAATTAAAAATTCCAGCACATGCCAGAAATCACAGGTATTGCTTTAAACAAATTACTACTCAAATGACTTCATGACGCTGTCATTCCAGGAAAAGGTATTTCTATGTATTGTATCAAGGTCCCAGACAAGCAACATCTGAAGTCCTAATCATAATGCTAATCATAATGTACTCTAAAAAAGTACCTTTCATCTTTCTTTTTTATGAACTCTCCCTACGTAGATATCATTGGGGTGGACTTGTTGGACAAAATTATCACAAGTAGAAATTTCAATAAAGTATATGGGGTTAGATTCTTGTAGAACAAATGATGTAGAATCTCTGACTTTTCTGCAATAAACCAAAAGCTTGTGATTTTAAAGCTCAATAGAAAAACACCACATTGCTGGTATAAAACTTTACAACTGTATGATGTGAAAATGAAAATATAAGTATTTAGGATTTTTTTTTTTTCAATGAAAGATTCCTTGGAAGGCATTCTCAACAATTAGCTGTGATTTGAAACATCCTTTTTTTTTGTGTGTGGAATTACACACAGAGAAAAAAAATCAATTAATTACATGCAGAAATTGGGCTAGGTAATTTTCATGACACAGTCTCTTTAAATAGTACTAAATTCTTGTGTACATAAAAGAAACAGGAAGCTTCCCAAAATTTTTACAATTTTACATCAAATTCTTTGCTGGGGTAAATGACCCCTCTCTTTTATGAGTTGAAAGAGGAAGGAATTTATATGGCCAAACTGTTATTTAATAACTGATTAATAAGAATCATGGCTCAATGTAAGACATTATCCTCCCACCTAATGTGCCCCTGTATTTTATAGGTCTGCCTTCCAAAATTGAGGATGGCCAGCAGTTTTCTACAACTTCCATCTCTTGTCCATGCTCAGAAGTGGCAGACTCTCTATCCAACACTCAAGTTATTGTAGCTGGTGCCATTTACTCCAGTTGTAAGCAGTACTTGGATGTCTCCAACATCAACAAAACATTACCTGTCACAAGCTCTTTACCTGCCTTTCCCTACTGCACAAGAGTGAGGCAACTAGGCTCTGTATTTTCTCTATTTGGGCATCAGTTTCTCTTCTCAAAGTCACTTGCAAGACTGTGCATGTGTAACACACTGGCTTAGCTCTACAGAGCACCACAGTCCTTCAGTGTCCAGAGACACTTCCCACAGCAGGACTGTGCCCCACACATGGACTGCTAGATAAGCTTGCCTGGGAAACTGCAGTTTTACTACTGGCAAGGTAAATACTCTTGCCAGTAAGTCTGCACTCTATGATTCCATAAACACAGATTGCTCCTTGGTCATAGCCAACCTGTTTTTTCCTTTATACAACTGTTTGTTTGCCTAAGCTTTTTTGAATGTTACATCTACTAAATCATTAGCAGCATTTTCATGTAATCTCCATCTATTTATACATTCCCAAAAGGAAACTCAGCAGGTTGTAATCTAAAAAACACCTAAAAATAGAAATGTGTTACTATCAGTTGCAGGGTGATGGGGGAGAAGAGATTAATAGGGGTTTGTCCCAGCCTTGGCTCATCTTTTGATAATAAACTCATTCAGATAGTGAACATACTGAGATTAACAATGAAGCTGAAGTACCAGTGTGTAACAAAGATTATTGTTAGGCAGTTTGATGCTGTCAATTCACATCTTCTTAAAGAGCTATGATGGAACCAGGGGTTTAAAGCCACTTGCAATTCACTCATCCAAAATACAAACATGAAAGTTTCTGGATGCTGCACAGGTCTCTGTGTGCTGGCTCTTGCAGGGGGGCATCACAAACTGAAAGACAAGCCACACCTATATTCCGGTGAAGCAACAGCATCGCTCACATCTGCAAAGTTCAGGGCAGTCTACTGTGTCTGCATAACATGAGGAGAATACTAGCCTCTGTCATTGGAAAAACATTGTTATGAAGGCTAGGGTTTATTCACCAAACCTTGTATTGCCTTACTGGAGAGAAGACTGGCTATGCCCTTCCATTAGGCTTATGCATTGCATTAAAAGATGTTAAATCATGGCCTTATCTAGCTTTCTGGGGCTGCTTTTGAGGATGAAACTAACGGTTTACTCTATTTTTCAAAAATGTTGGGTTAAGTGAATTTTGCCACTCCCTAGGCAGTATCAAGGAGATTGTCCTGATAAGAGGACATTTTATTCTGCATTTTGGGTTATGTGAGGTTACAGGATCTCAGCATACCTCTGCAAACTAAGGCAAAGTCCAGATACAGCTGTGCTTTTTACAGTTCAAGATAGAAAACTCTTTTCACAGACCCTCACCTGCCCAGCAAATCCCAGCTTTTCCTCTCACTGATGCTATAGAGAAGCATTAGAGAAAGTTTAGAGCTTAGCTTCCATTCAAGGTTCTTGCTTATGATCTGATATTTATTGATATTCTACTTATGTCCATTGCTTGTGCTTCTTGGAATATGTTAAATTACAGCAGCACCATGTGTGATTACTCCTGTTTCCAGCCACGTAAGGATGGAACTACACAAATGAAGATAAAGTACCAGGGCTTATTAAGGAAAGCAAAGAACTATCTAAAGTTGGGGCAATCCAGCTGCTTGGGAGAAAAAATATGAAAGCTTTTAGGTATCATATACCATATTACTTAAAAAAAACCCCAAAGGTTTAGAAAGAATTCTGCTAGCCTTTATCCCTCTTTATTTCAAGAGCACATGAATCCTGAGAAAAGTTAAAGAGCACTTGTCTCACCTTTTCACTGTTTTTACTACCTCTTGCACCTGGTCAGAGCAGGTGTCAAGACTTCCCATTTTAGCACAGGTGTGAATACTTACACAAGACTCAAGAAAGGAGCTGGTGTGAGGGAAGGTTTGTTAGCTCCAGAAGAGCCCTAGATTTCTTTCTAGAGACAGTCCTTAAGTAGTTCAGATGTATCTCAGAAAATCTGACTCAGGAGGCAAGTTGTCCAAACTACAACCCTCACTCTGAACTTCTGAAACAAATGATTTATAAGAAATTAAAAGAAATTTTGTAATCTCATAGAGGTCAAAATTTTTGATAGATTCCTTCTAATTTTTCAGATAACGTATTCTGCAAGTGTTTCAAACAGGCAGGGTGAAAACAGCCACTACCAAACTATCTCCTCCCAAAAGCACAGCTCTTGTTTTGTAACCACTATTGTGCTTTTTCAGGTTAACAATGTTACTTGGAGTCTTCTAATCTAAAGGTTGAGCTGCATGCTGGAGAAAGCACTGAGGCAAGTGACTCAGTGAAACTCATTTCAGTTCCTTTTTGTTTCTTTTAAATTGCACCTTCCTAATCCCTTCTTGCTGCTGTTGCTGGGGATCTCCCAGCCCCTGGGTGCTGTTGATGCTGCTTCCTCCCTGCTATCTCCTGCTCTATCTGTCTTGGTGGTAGCTGTCACACAGCCCTATCTACCACACTGCTCTTCCCTTCCAAAGCTGCATGCTTCTCTCTCCACTCTGCAGCTAGCCTGAGCAGCACTGTAGGAACAAATTCCAACATATAATAAATAATCTAATCTAGTGAGTGAGAAAATTCAGTTTAAAATAATTAAACCCTCAGTTTAAACCTTTTGTATTACATATTTTTAAAGAGGGAAGGGAGGATGAAGGAAAAGGTTTCCTTAATTTTGTGGCAGTCTTTTATTTCCAGTCCAGTGCTTTAGACAAATTATTTCCTACAGTTCATGTGAGATTGGAAAAAAAAAAAAAAAAAAAAAAGCCACCCTACAGTAAAATTATAGGCAGTGCCTTTCATTTTAATCAGACAAATTATCATCACCCGACTGATGAATCCACTCTGGAGATAGCAACATGACACAGTTTACAACCTTAAGGATTACAGTAGTCCAGATGCTATCATCTTAATTGGAAAACCACAGTGTTGCCAACTGTCCATGTTAGGGAATGGAAGGTTGCATATTATTATTATTATTATTATTATTATTATTATTATTATTATTATTATTATTATTATTATTATTATTATTCCTTTGTCTTCACTCATTTCTTTTCCTCCACATAGACAAGGACTATTAGATCCTTTGTATAGTTTTCCTTATTGAAGTCTTTTTATAATCTCGTAAAGACCGCCTTTTTGAGACAACATAAGTCCCACTGCGTGGGAGATCAGTGTTTCCATTCCCACCATTCTCAGCACTCTCATTTTCCTATCCAAAAGGAGAAGATAACAGAAAGGCCTTTTCAGACATTCAAGTTCACTTTCAGAAAGTGAGTGAGCTTAAGCCCCTGTGTCAATAAAACAGTAATTACATCATATGTGATAGGTCACAAA